CTACCTGTTGTCACGCGATACCCGAGTCGCCCTTCCAAGCTTTAAACCGCATTTAAGACGCTGTCTCTTCCACCTCCGAGCACTTTTAATCTCGGTTATGCTCTTCGAATACGAACTCGCCAGAAGAATGATCCTTCTCTTTGATGCCGGCTCATACTGTAGAAGATCATTCAGGATTTCTCACCTCGTCGTTCCTATAATCGGTCATGGATATCGTTTATCTCTTGTATACAGTTTATAGATTATAGAGTATCGGCTTACCTACCTTGCCAATAGATTCTCTCTCTCTCTCTCTCTCTCTCTCTCTCTCTCTCTCTGCATTTGGACGAATTTATTTTCCCTTACAATCGAGCCAACACAGCCGAAGCTCTCGAGTGGTTAGTCCCAAAGGGCACGGAGGGATAAACGATGATGCCACATCGAGAGCAGAGCCAGTTTTCAATGCTACGCAAACACTCAAGAGAAACTTTCCAATGGCCGAGCAAACTTTTTAAACCAAGCGAAATCTTGACGGTCGAGTCACGATGTCATTGATAGAGGAGGAGGAAGAAGAAGAAGAAGAAGAAGAAGAAGAAGAAGAAGGAGAAGAAGAAGTAGCTCGAAAATGTTAGGCAATGTAAAAAGATAAAAGGAAAAAAAGTGAAAGAAAGGAAGAAAGAAAAGGAAAGAAAAGTAAAGAAACGAAAAGAAAAGAGAAGCTTCGGTAGTCGGCTTCTTCTTCATTTCGGTCGAATGCTTCCATCGGTTCGTCGCTTCGATTCTCAGCTCGATTCTCGACTGGATTCTCAGCTCGATCATGGCAGGACGTCATCGTTCGTGCCAACTGCAGTGTGAAATGCCATGTGTTCGCGTGTCCCGGCTTGGCACAACGAACGGCGGTCGCTGTCGAGTGTTTTAAGCCCTTGAGTGGGTAATACCGAAACGCGTTTATAAATTGAGTCCTCGTCCTGGAGGATTAGAGAGAACTCGCGATGGGAAATCTGTGTAGGGTGGGCCTATGCGTACGCGTACCACGCAATACGCGTTCCACGGATCTTCAGCGGATTATTCCGCGTCATGAATCTCCGAGAGCACTTTCGAGCTCTCTCTCTCTCTCTCTCTCTCTCTCTCTCTCTCTTGTACTCTCTCGTACTCTCTCTCTCTCTCTCTCTCTACCTATCTTTACCTATCTCTCCCTCTATCGTATTCGCTGTTTATCGGCATTACGCCGTGGTCGCATCGATTTTCCACGCTCCTGCAGTCCCACGATATTCCGTTCCTCGATTAAACCCTACTTATTGTCCGTGGCTTCCGTGTTCCTCGCCGATAACGATCGCGATTCGATCAAACTTCCCCTTCTCTCTTTCTCTCTCTCTCTCTCTCTCTCTCTCTCCCGCTCTTTAGAAATTATTCTCTATCTTTCTCCAATACGAGGTTAATTCCACGTTCGAAAGTTTTGAATCCCTTAACGCAATTTTCTTTTTTCCATTCTCTTTCTCTCTGTTAGGTAATAATATCTCCAGTTTCTTCGAACAAAGCAGGAAACGATTAATCATTCGACGAAAATTAATTACACCTGTGGTGTCGCTAATTAATGTAAGACGGCACGTCGTTGAGTGCTGTGGTCTCATCGATTTCTTAGACGTTCCCTGTCGTCGTCGTCGTAAAAGGACGACAATCATTGCATCGTGATTCAAGTCTCGTCCGTATTCAATTCCGCGTTCTAAGCTAGTATATATGCCAGTGTCGATTTCGATAAAAAAAAAAAAAAAAAAAAAAAAAAAAGAAAGAAAAGAAACACACGCGATTACGCGAGCTTCAACATTTTTAAGACATCATACGATTTTTCTTTTATCTCGATTAGTGTCACTTGTCTCTTTTTGCGAGATCGAGGAAAAAACAATTAATCATCTCGATGGAAATTAATCATATTAGTAACCTAAGGTCGGTAATTAATGTGCGCATGTTCTTTCGTAAGCTTGTCCGATCTTACAAACGATTTATGAAACCGTGCGAAACGAGCTAGAACGTGAAAACTCACGACTTCTTCTCCCGTTTCTCGTGATTTCACGAGAGACTTTAAGGGTGTCGGCTTAGAATAAATCGTGGCATGGCTCGTAAAATAACCATGCTCGTCGTTTAAGAGAAATTTATTGCACGCTAACGCACCGATTATTCCGCTTACGAAGAAATTCCGCCGTTTGCTATTCCGTTTCCTTTGATTTCGGAATATGTATCTCTCACGTCGACTCTATTTTCTCGTCGAGTATCAATTTCTAGTCTCCCTCTTTGCTATTTCTTCGTTTTTTATTTCCTTCTTCTCTTCGTTCTCCTTCTCTTTTTATTTTTCTCTTCGTTCTTCGTCGTCTTCTTCTTCTTCTTCTTCTTCTTCCTTCTCTTCGAACACGCTCTCTTGTCCGTTACGTACTTCGCTATTACGTATGAGAAGGAACGGCACTGGCGGCGCGCGTACGGCTTTCTTACCGATGTAATCGAGCGTGTATCGCGAAGCCTTGAGGAACGACGTTGATAAACGATCCCTTCGGCGGGGTCTCACTTCACCGATTCGGCACGCTTTTATAACAAGTTCGATACTAACAAGCTTTTCACGCGCGCACGTCAATCCCGTCGTTTTTCACGCGTTCCCGCACGTCGGTGCTACGCGCCGTTGATACGTTTCAACGCGCTTAATTCACTTTGCTCGTATTGCGAACCGTTTCTCGCAAGGCAGGCCAATAAAATGCGCCATTTGGATTTTTTTAATACGTGGAATCCCGACACCCTCTTCCCCCTCCAATCCCGGTTACGCTCGTAAATTCTAATCCTTTCTTTCTTTTTTTCTCCTCCCCGTCCCCTCTCCTCCCCTCCCCCGTTACGTTCCGCTCACCTTTTCTAATGTTAAACCCAAGCCCATAGACGACTCGTTACATACAAATTTAATGCGTAATCATTCGATTAGCATTAACTTTTGTATTATCTCGAGCATGGAAAATTCACTATTCCGTTATAATATTCCTTTGAAGTCAGGCACTTCAGTTTAGAAAATCGATAAGTGGACACGACGAAATATATAATTAGAGCGTTAGTACATGTATAATGAAAATCGACGTTTCTTTTACGTACTAAATAACGATAATGTAAAACCTGTCATTAATACTTAAACGATTTCATGCCGATTAGAAATTTATTCTACGACAAGTTATTAATATAAAAAGAATTGTCTCTTATTTAAACAGATATTTTTCAAATCGTTTGATTTAATCATTCTATAATATTCTATTTCATTTGAGTCAATTTAAAAAACGATTTATCCTTTCCATTAACGTTTAATCATTAATCTTATCATTCGTTTGATGAAGATAAGAGGAAAGAGCACGTTCTTGAGATGGGAAGAAAAGAGTCGTTCGACCGTACAAAAAGAAAGAGAGAGAGAGAAAGAGAGAGAGAGAGAGAGAGAGAGAGAGAGAGTGAGAGAGAGAGAGAGAGAGATAAAAACAGAGAGGTGGATTTGTTACCTCTCTCTTTCTCTCAGAGAATTTCCTTCGTTCCTTTCACGGTAACGACTGGGAACGAAGGCGCCACGGAAATTTCGCGTGCGGGAAAGTATCCACCGCCGTTGGAATATTTAGACGGCAAGGGTTGCCAGCTACCTCGTAAGTGGCACTCTCGACTCTCCTAACCGTCTTTTACGTTTTCCGGTAGAAACAACGCTGCCACGAAGCGACGTTCAGCCCTCCAGAAAGTTCCCTTTCGACCTCTCTCGCTTCGTTTTCTTTACCCTCGTTCGCGTGTAGAAAAGCATTTTCATTTCGCAAAAAGAACCTACACTCTTCTTCCTTTATTCCTCTTACTCTTTCTTGATTGACATCGGAGAAAGATAGTAAGAAAGAGAGAAAGAAAATGTGGACCGACTTTTGCGTGAAGGGTTGAAAGGGGTCTCGATTCTTGAAGGGCCAACCCGTTCATTTATCTTACCACGCTATGCATAGTCTTTCTTATCTCGACGCGTAAAACCCTAGCAATTCGTTTCTTTCATAACTTTTCTCACTACTGGCCCATTGTAATCGTACCATCTTGTTATTCATGTTTTTGTTAAAAGCTGAGCTTTTCCACGTAATACACGATATTTCTTTAACGACTATTACGACTGCTATCGTTGAATTGAAAATGAAATTGAAAAAAAAAAACAAAAAAAGAAACAAAAACTATATATATATATATGTGTGTGTGTGTGTGTGTGTGTGTAAAGAAAAAATTTCAGATATAGTACATACTTATCAAAGAGGACGAGTCAGCCTTGGGTATACCAATTGAGTAGAGCAACAAAGAGCAAAGAGTAACGAGTACGATCTTGAATTGATCAATAGAGAGTAAGAACAGAGAATAGCGACAGAGTAAAGAGTAAAGAGTAACCAGTAAAATCTTGAGTAGACTAGAGTAATGAGATCAAAAAAAAAAAAAAAAGTAAATGGTTGTAATATTTTAGTTGTAGTAATATCTTAGATGTAGTATCTTAATTATATAGTATCCTTGTTAATTAAAATCATTATTAACTAAGAAAAAGTATACCGAGTTAATTAGTAATCTGTATCTTCCAGGTATGGTTACGAAAAATATCCTATTTTACACGCACACACACACACATATATATATATATTAATTAAAAAAAAAAAAAAAAGAAATATTACAAATTAATAATTTATTTTAAATATAGTATGAAATATTTAAAGTTATTAGTAATAATTAATTATATTATTATTTAATTATAAAATATATTATTTATTAATCTATTAATAATTATTTATTTATATTAAAAAATTTTATTATATGTATATATATGTATATAGTTTAATTTTAATATACATATATATATATATATATATATATATATATATATATATATATATAAAACGAGAAGATTTTAAATATACATAAACGTAATGCTTAAAAATACCTTTTTTATTCGTAGAGAAAGAGAAAAAAAATCCCCGTTACATTATTTATCGTTTTTATTATTACAGATGCCAGATCGAAGAGGACTAAGCGGGTGCAGTGACGAGTGCCGTGACGTGTTCGTTTTACGTATCGATATATCACCGATCGATCGCGTTCATTTTTGCTCTTGGTGTTAAATAAAATGAACGAATGACCTCGTCGGTGATATATACGAAATGAGGCCGAAATCGTGCTCCCTGTTTCTCTTGTTTTGCGTTCTGTTGCCTGGCGTCGTGCGTCCCTTCACGTCCGGAGAAGGTAAGAAGAAAATCTTTTACGAAAGGGAAGTAGCTAGGAAAGTTGAAGGAGAAAAAGGGCATTAGAGAAAAGAGAAGATGAACTCGAGGGATCGTTAAATCTGCCATTTAGCTCGTGCCAGGCATATAATGAGTTTCCTCTTTCTCTCTTTCTCTCCTCCTCTCTCTCTCTCTCTCTCTCTCTTTCTCTCTGCTCTTTCGATGAGGCTCGTCCCCGATATCCGCAGATTCGAGCAGCAGAGCCAAGTACTTACTCGAGGTACTTGTATCGAAACAAGTAGCCGAGTACCACTTTACGCGTCGGTTCTTCGTACGTACCTACGTGCACGATATGAATGAAGCCAATGGGAAAAAGAAAAATATCGTCTCGGTTTTATAAACTTATTTGTACGATCTTTTTCTCATTTTCCTTTTCTTTTTATTTATATATATATATATATATATATATATATTTTTTTTTTTCTTTTTGAATTATTTATTTCTTGTATTTCTTTTATTTGTTTCTTTATTTTTTCTTTCTTTTTTCTTTTTCTTTTTTTTCTCTTTTTCTTTTTAATTTCGAGAAGCATCGATCGAGTTGAAATGAAAAAAAATTCACGTCAAAGGGGATCTTAATTTTGTATAGCCGTCTTTTTTAATGAACGCTCGTCCCCCTTCGATGCGATACGATGGAAATCAACGTGAGAGATCGAGATTCTCGATGGCGGATATTAACGATGCCGGGAAAACGATGACTTTGCCGTAAGTTACCCCCTAACGATCTATAAGGCAACGTAAACTGAACACGGGCAAAATAGTTTTTACGAGTCACACGTAGAAAGATGAAAGATGAAATATATATATATATATATATATATATATATATATATATATGTATATACATTAGAAGTATATAAGTTTCTAAAGTGAAACACGCGACGCAAGGGAAAAAGCATCAGAGTTTCTACGAGCTTCCTACGAGAGAACGAGAAACGGAGATGGAAGGAGAGAAAGACAAGCCTAATTATACGGCGAGTCAGGCTCGTTGATTAGTCGTCGTAGACACGACCGACCGGTTACGTTACGCCAAGCCATTTTCGATGATGGATTATACTCCCCTAGAGCTACTTTTGAACGGCCTCCTGGACTACGTGTTCTCACCCCTCTTTTTCCCTCCCTTTCTCTCTCTCTCTCTCTCCCCCTCTCTCTTTCTCTCTCTAACTTTCCATGGATCTCTCATGGCTAACTAATTATCATCCTTGACGTCCTCTCGCGTACTCGTCATCGTAGCGACGATGAATGGTTTCTCACCTGCAAGCATTTAACGTCGTTGCTTAGTTCGAAAGGGAGAAACAATCGTAACGTGTATCTTCAACGACGAAAGGAATTCTAATCCAACTGTTTCCTCTTCCTTCTCCTTCTTCTTCTCCTCCTCCTCCTCCTCCTCCTCCTCCTCCTCCTCCCCCGACCATCCCACTCTTGCCAAGTCTCATCATGAGTTTCCATGGTATTTCCAATGAGACGAGAGTAGACGGGACGAGACAAGACGCGCCGAAACGGCGACGACATCATTAATCGCATCAACTCGAATAAATTCGTAGAAGCGGAGCATGTGTCTCTCGATGGTAAGCACACCGACGACGACGACGACGACGACGTTCTTCTCTCTTCATTCTCTCCTAGAGATCTATCCAAGAACGAGAAAGTTGTCGCTTCAACAACGGGAAAGCGCCTTCGCGTGGACCGTTTAATGGTTCTTCGTCTCTGAAGTTTCTACGCGTTTACGCGGTACGTAGACACGATGGCGTCCGATAATGCGTCGCATGTATTAAGCGGTAAAAGCGGTTACGAGAAGGAATTTGGAAATCCGGTAACCTCCTCGAAGAGACGTATATTAGCTGGTCCAATAACCCATAGATAACTTTCTAAGGCTCCTTTCTGAGAAACGATTCGAGCGATAACTTATTATCGATTGTCTCTCTCTCTCTCTCTCTCTCTCTCTCTCTAATTTTATCTATCTATCCATCTATCTTTCTCTATCTCTATTAATCTCTATCTATCTCTATCTTCAGAAGATCAATCGTTTCTCTTAGTTTCTACGGCATCAAACTATTCGATAAAATCCATCGACTTTATTTCTATATTACCTTAGGCTAGGTCTCATTTTAACATACGATATATCACATGCATACATTAACGCGTAAATATACATAACGTTCGTGAATAATTAGCCAAAGAATTTATCGCGACGCGATATCCTTCAGTAATTTCACTAACCCGACGATTATTACAACGACGATTATTACAACGACAACGACGACGACGACGACCAATGTTCGTGCATGAGCATGGCTGGGAAAAAATATTAGCCCCGTTAATAATTAAAGGAAAGACGAGACGAGGGTGAACCAGCCCACGGTCTCGACATTTTGTGAGCGGTTGTGTCTACCTATCTATCTACCTACCTACCTACCTACCTACCTACCTACCTACCTACCTACCTACCTACCTACCTACCTACCTACCTATCTAACTCTCACAGACTCCTTTTTGTCTGCTATTACCATGAACTGTCGTACTACCTGGCGCCCTTGGTACAACGAGAGACCTTCTTCAATTTTTTAGTGCCAGTCGTTATCTCCCGACACCTAGCGAATTTCTACCAGCTTGACGTCTACGCATCGCATTCGTTGAGAAAATTCTTTCCCATTCGCATCTCGTGTCACTCCCTCTCGTCATATTCCTTCATCCATCTTCTCATACCTCATCCTAATCCTCGTCCTCATCCTCATTCTATTTTGTAAAAGCCACGGAAACTGTAAAGCCTTTATTTAACTTGTTCCCTTCGCGTACATTTAAAAGCTCGAGTTTTTCCAACCGAGAGAAATGTTATTTATCGCGTGGCACATTTTGACAAATTTTATTAAAAATCCAACGTAAATTGGATCCAGTTTTAATTTCGTTTTCATGAATAATTTCAAACGAATTCAAACATTTCCCTTATACAGACGTACAGAGAGAGAGAGAGAGACGGAGAGAGAGAGAGAGAGAGAGAGAGAGAAAGAGAGAGATGAAATCAAGTATGTTTGTTGAAAAAAAATTCCTTGAAAAGGGATTGAATACGGTTAAATAATGATCCCGATGTTTTCGTGATAGTTCGATAAATCTGAAGGTACGGTTTGCTCGATAAGTATCATAAGTAAATCGCGATTACCATCCCGGTATGACCTTCGATCACGTAGTCCGCCGGCTATCTAAAGGTGCGCTGGTCTAACCGATCGACCCTCTTCGCAAAATCGCCTCGAGGAAAAATGCAAAGACTGGTTGGTGAGCTTGTTCTTCGTTGGTGCAATTACCCCGTTGGTTCCGCCAGACGAGAGAGCCATGCTTCGAAAGAACGCCTGTATACGTAGGAAAAAATGAAAGGAGGATAGAAAGAGATAGATAGATAGGTGGAGGGAGAGAAAGAGAGAGAGAGAGAGAGAGAGAAAGAGAGAGATGGGAACGAGGGGAAAAGAGTGAAAGCAAGGAGAGCGGAGGAAGAGTTTCGCGTTTAATACCTCTTGCGTGGTCTCTCATCGGCGCCAAAGCCGACGAAGAAACACCAAGTCCGCGCTCTTTCCACTCTAGCGACGAAAGGTCGGGTCAGCTTTAATTATCGTAAATCAAAGGAAGGCGGCAGCGCGTCGTAGTATAAGTACTCCATACCAAAGGAGAAGGGTGGTCGTACCTGGACTCGAGCGAGCACGATTATTGTTGAAATCTTGGAGAATGTTCGATACCGAACGAAAGAGTTACTCATAGGAAAATAAAATGAGATCTTTGATATTGGGCGTGATCGAGAAATCGTGGAATATAGATCGATCGATTCCATTCGATTAGATCGTCCAAGAACGAGTTCCCACAAAGCAAGGAACTCGAGAATAGTTATCATATATTACTCTTTATTTCCCCTTAGCACCCTCCTCCTTTCCTCTCCTCTTCTCCTCCTCCTCCTCCTCCTCCTTCTTCCTACCCCATCATGTAGATTAAGTCCAGTATATGCTCGAGATATATTTTCACGAGCGTACCTTGAGAATCAACCGGTTTTACTGTCTCGTCTACTCGTCCACCGTTTTAATCCAAGAATATTAAACGTTCCTTTAAATGTGTCTAACCGTTCTTCTTAAAAGCTAATCTGATTATCGATTTTTTTTCGACTTTCTTCTTTTTCTTTTTTTCTTTTCTTTTTTTTTTTATTTTTCTTGTTTTCCTTTTTTCCTGCTCTCTTTTCTTCGGGCTGGGAAATATTTTTCTTTTTCGTTTCTCATTTCTCATTTTCGTTTCTTCTTTCTTTTCTTTTCTTTTCTTTTTCTTTGTCTTCGTTTTTTTCATACGACGGGAGCTTTTTTCATTTTCTTTTCTCTTTTTTTTTTTTTTTTTTTTTTTTTTTCTTTTTTTTCATACCCACCGTAGTAGACACAGAACAACATCCTTCAACAGCTTCATGAGATTTCTTTGAAGATTATTATCGAACGATGTCGCATGTATGAAATAATTAAATGAAACCGGACAGGACGTCTCGATGGCTTTCGGATTTTCTTAAATGAAAACTCGAGCGACATATGCAAATGGGAACACCGATGGGAACTGTTCGTTGGTCGCGACGCGAAGGACGTTTATTAAAAAAAAAAAAAAACAGACAAAATGCAAGAAAAAAGGAGAAAAGAAGAAAGAAAGGAAGAAAAAAAAATTCACTGGCGCCAAGAAAACTCGACGTACCGGACGCGGAATGCGAGGTCGAACGGAAACGATGGCCCCTCTCGATCAAATACTATAGAATGCATCGTTTACCTATTCGATTGTGCAACTTGCCTACGGATAATCATATATTAAACGCATACACGAATACATGTAAACTCTTAAGCACGAATACGTAATTGAGGTATATAAGGGTACCTACTATGGTGTCGCGTGCGAAAATTTTCTCTCTTTTTCTCTCCCTCTCTCTCTCTCTCTCTCTCTCTCTCTCTGTCGTTCTTT